AGTAAAACAACTGTAGGGCAGTCAGCCCGTACACTTCCCTTGACCCTAGGCCTAGCGTTCCAATCCCACTCGAGCCCTGCTGAATTTTAACACTTGGAACACTTTTGTTGAATATATTTTGTTTATTATTATTTAATCTTAATTATTTTTCATAAAAGACCCGCAAGGTTTGGTTATCTTTTCAGAAATGATTCATCAAAGCTATAGTGATGTTGGGAAAATCAGTTTCGAATTCTTAACTGGAATATTTTGGCAGTGGTACAGGGATCCTTAAATTACAATGGTGTTATGAACAGACATCAATCATAGAATAAACATTTATTGAAGATGTTTGTATTTGTAGATCAAGTGTCATTTCCTTGATCACGGAGACACTGACCTTCTGATCCCAGATCAACTGCGACTCCTGGACACCAAACTCAACAAATCATTACCCTACCAGGTAACTCCACAAATTATTACCCAACAAGGTAACTCCACAAATTGTTACCCTACCAGGTAACTCAACAAATTATTACCCTACAAGGAAACTCCTCAAATTATTACCCTACCAGGTAACTCCACAAATTATTACCCAACAAGGTAACTCCACAAATTGTTACCCTACCAGGTAACTCAACAAATTATTACCCTACCAGGTAACTCAACAAATTATTACTCTACAAGGTAACTCCTCAAATTATTACCCTACCAGGTAACTCAAAATATTATTACCCTACCAGGTAACTCAAAATATTATTACCCTACCAGGTAACTCAACAAATTATTAACCTACCAGGTAACTCCACAAATTATTACCCTACCAGGTAACTCCACAAATAATTACCCTACTAGGTAATTCAACAAATCATTACCCTACCAGGAAACTCCACAAATTATTACCCTACCAGGAAACTCAACAAATTATTACCCTACCAGGAAACTCAACAAATCATTACCCTGCTGAGCTTCTCCTGGAATTTTGATCACATAAAGGTTACTGTATTTAACATGTATTGGTGACGTCTTTGTTGCAGGCTATTGAAGTTTCCCTTTACGGACTAGAAGAGGTGGCAGAGAACATCACAGTTTTGGAAGCGCTGTTTGACTTTGCTCTTGGCAAAACTTGTGTGGCAGAGGTCGTCAGTAGGTAAGGCAGACAGGCTACACGTGCAAGAAATATTTAATAAAACAAGATTTATTACGAAAATGGTCAACATTTTTATCAGCACAGTGGCAGAGATAAGTAAACAACCGTTCCATCTGTGTATGGAAAGTATGAGGACATATACTTAAGTATACATATACAATAAACAATTTATTGAACTATGCACCAAAACCTGTTGCACACATTTTCAGACAGACCCTATGGAGGACGCTCGGACTATCTCCATTATGTTTTTAGGTCACCTGAGGTTTAACTCAAGTGACCTATTGCTAATCGTCTTCGTCTGTCGTCGTCCGTTAACACTTTTTACATTTTCAACTTAAGCTGAAATACTGGCAAATGGATTTCATTAATATTTTGTGGGAAGGTTACTGACATCTCCCTGACCAAGTGTTGTTATTTTTCGGGTCAATCCGAAATCCAATATGGCCGCCACGGCAGCCATTTTGAAAACATATTTTAAACTTAAAGTCAAGTTCCGTTGGGCCGATTGAACTGAAACTTTGTAGGAATGATCCACTTATTGTCCTGACAAAGTGTTGTTATTTTTCGGGTCGATCAGAAATACAATTTGGCTGCCATGGCCGCTATTTTGAAAATACCTATTTCAAACATAAAAACAAGTTCTAATAGGCCGATCTAACTAAAAATCGGTCTAGGAATGATCAGCTCATGGCCCTGACAAACTTAAGTTAACGTTATACTGTTTTTTATCACATTCCTGTTGAATCTTGTTATAGAAATACAAGCAATTTTCAGACCATGGAATACAATGTTCTGTATTGCACATGTGCAATACGGAATGTTGTATTTACCTACTAGCCGGAACTACTTTTTATGGGAATCCCCTTGTCATGTCGAACTGAAAAGTTCCCGGTATTTGCAAAAAAATATCAAAGTTTATAAAATCTTCGTATCGATCTTTGTATCGATCTCTACCAAATATGGAAGATAGGTGATAAAAGCAAGACCACACACTTGTGTTTTTCTGACGAATCAGAAAGCACTTATTTATTGCGCGCAATAAACTTGTGCTTTCTGATTCGTTAGAAAAATACAAGTGTGTGGTCTTGCATATATATATTATCCTTATCATTTCCTACATTACAGGGAAGAGTGTCTGTCTGTGATACTGTTTTATATATTATCCTTATCATTTCCTACATTACAGGGAAGAGTGTCTGTCTGTGATTCTGTTTTATATATTATCCTTATCATTTCCTACATTACAGGGAAGAGTGCCTGTCTGTGATACTGTTTTATATATTGTCCTTATCATTTCCTACATTACAGGGAAGAGTGCCTGTCTGTGATACTGTTTTATATATTGTCCTTATCATTTCCTACATTACAGGGAAGAGTGCCTGTCTGTGATACTGTTTGACACCTTTGGTAAGGAAGATGTTAACATTAATGAGAAGATCGCAAAGACTTACCAAGAAGCATCAGAAACCTCGCTGCTTACTAGTCACTCCTCGCCGATCGGCAGCGTGGCGAATCTACTTGATCGACCCTCGGACACAGCCGACCGGCCACTTGATTCCTCGCTGTCTAACAAGTCCATAGACACCCAGAGCAGCAGTGTTTCTTCCCTCTCTGACACCTCTGACTGTGCGATGTCCCCTAATAAACAAGATACACCAGAGTCTGTCACCCTTTCACCCCAGTCTAGTTATATAGCAACCCTTAACTCAAAACTCGAGACTGGAAAAAATACTGGCAGTGAGGGACCAAAGCTCACTCCTGCCCGACAGTTCTCTTCTACAAATGTGCAATCAGAAACCCCAGTAGTTGTCAAGGACCAGCTTCTTGTGAGGCAGAAATCCTCCGACTCCTGGGAGACGGAGGAGAGTGAGGAAGAAATTGGAGATGAATGCGGTGTAGAAGACTCAGAAGCTATACAAAATAATTCTGAGGAAATTTCTAATCCAACAAGTGTTTCTGTGACTAAGCAATCAGCTGAGAACCAGTCTGTGATAATTTGTGACAACAGTTCAGGGGGCGAGGATGTGATAGCTGAGGCGTCCCAGCCCAGTAGTCTGTACACGTGGGGGACAGGAAAGCCCGCGGCCGTGGTTTTAGACGAGGACCTCTGGGACAAGGAAGCATACCACCGGCGAGTAGTCCCACCCCATCATACACTTCCTCCAAACGGCCAGTTCTGTGATATCCACATCGGATTTGTTTTTGATCCAGCAAATTTTGTTGTAAGTAGCAAATCATTAATGACAAGATGTTCACACAATCTAAGGCCTTTTAATGGAGTAGTTTTTAGTAGATTTATCGGTTTTACCAGTTCAAAAATATTAAAACACTTTGATTAATTCCTCACAAGCATGCTTATATATTGAATAATATGGTAAGTTAAAATCATATACCAAGTGAATGGTTATACATTTGCATTTGAAGAATGACATGTCTCATTTCTTGTTTTTCTGATTCATATCCTCCCAATCACCAATGTCATTTAACTTTAACCTGTTTTTAAGCGTGGCAGCCAGCCACATGTACATTGACTATGTTATACCAACACTGAAATGTTACCTGCCAATACTATACATGTAGCTCAACTTCTTCTTTTTTGCCATTTGCTTATTGCCATATCTAATATTATTTACAAAATTTCTACAACAAACTTTTTTGCTTTGGCTGATAGCTATAGACTAAGCACATATATACTTGTGTGTCCCCTGAAAACTCCTACTAGCAGGACACTTTTACTGCTTTTGTAAGCTTTCCAAGACAGCATGATCCAGTCTCTGTTGTAAATCATTCATATATGTATATACAGGTGTACATAATATAGAATATTTATTTATTTTACAAAAAATATGAAACAAGTTATTTCAACTTACATATATTTTTGACATGGGTGTTAGCGGTCAGGTGTTAGCGGACAGGGGGTCCTAATGTGAGAGGAAAACCGGAAAACCCGGAGAAACGCAGGTGGTTGGGCAGGTGACCCCATACCTTTTCACGTCGGGGAATTGAACACGACTGAAGAGGAGTGTATTATCCACTTCACCACCCAACCAGTGATAATTTGTCTAATACTTCAAATAAAAAATAAGACAAATCTTAATCTTGCTGTTACTACTTAGCTAGTTTTCTTTGAGTAACATACAAAGCCAAACGTATCTTCCACAGGATAGATTGAATACCTGACTAGTACAAAACTGACTTTGTCCATATCTACGTTTATACTACTACTAATAATAATTTGAGGTTCTTATACACCGCTTTATCACAACCTAGTTCGTAGGTCATCTCAAAGCGGTTCACAAATTATTATCCGTGTTAATAGGGCCTTTGCAACCAGCCAATTCCCTGGTAAGCATACAGCCGTGCTGCCATTTCCGTGCTAACAGCTAGCATTCAACAATTCTAGCACTGCCCAACCACATACCTATTTACAGCTGAGTAGACTGGAACAAGGGGAGTAAAGTATCTTGCTCGAAGAAACAACACAGTGCCTTGCCGTGACTCGAACCTGCAACCCTTCGGTCACGAGCCAGGCTTCCTACCACTAGACTACCGTGCCTCCAATAAGGTTTATGTCCTTAATATTATCAGAGGACTACATATTGTATAGTGGCATGGTATCATTTGTGGGGAATTCAATTTTGATATATTCATGGTCGTGAAATTAAATACTCAAGGATTAATAATACATGTTCCGTACTGAGATAAAAACCATTCAATATCATATTTCACCGTAATATAGAACAGTCCCTATGGGAGTGCAATATTGCATGAAAATTTAATCTCGGCGAACAAGTTCTGATCGGGACAACAGTGAAATATTAGCCCAGCGAGATTAAATAAGTATACAGTACATGTGTTCTTTTCTTCATACGTTGTGTTAAATGTACAGACTTATTGTGTTAAATGTATAGACTTATTGTGTTTAATGTATAGACTTATTGTGTTAAATGTATAGACTTATTGTGTTTAATGTATAGACTTATTGTGTTAAATATACAAACTTATAGATGTATAGACTTATTGTGTTTAATGTATAGACTCATTGTGTTAAATGTGTATACTTTTTGTGTTAACTGTATAGAATTTTGTGTTAAATGTACAGACTTATCATGTTAAATGTATAGACTTATTGTGTTTAATGTGTAGACTTATTGTGTTTAATGTATAGACTTATTGTGTTCAATGTATAGACTTATTGTGTTCAATGTATAGACTTATTGGTGTTAAATGTATAGACTTATCATGTTAAATGTATAGACTTATTGTGTTTAATGTGTAGACTTATTGTGTTAAATGTACAGACTGATCATGTTAAATGTATAGACTTATTGTGTTAAATGTATAGACTTATTGGTGTTAAATGTATAGACATATTGTATTAAATGTATAGATTTATTGTGTTAAATGTAGACTTATTGTGTTAAATGTACAAACTTATAAATGTATAGCCTTATTGTGTTTAATGTATAGACTTATTGTGTTAAATGTATAGACTTATTGTATTAAATGTATAGATTTATTGTGTTATATGTAGACTTATTGTGTTAAATGTATAGATTTTAGACTTATTGTGTTAAATGTGTACTTATTGTGTTAAATGTATAGACTTATTGTGTTAAATGTATGGACTTATTGTATTAAATGTATAGATTTATTGTGTTAAATGTAGACTTATTGTGTTAAATGTACAAACTTAAAAATGTATAGACTTATTGTGTTAAATGTTTATACTCCTTGTGTTAAATGTGTAGACTTTTTGTGTTAACTGTATAGAATTTTGTGTTAAATGTACAGACTTATCATGTTAAATGTATAGACTTATTGTGTTTAATGTATAGACTTATTGTGTTTAATGTATAGACTTATTGTGTTAAATGTATAGACTTATTGTGTTAAATGTATAGACTTATTGTGTTAAATGTATAGACTTATTGTGTTAAATGTATAGACTTATTGTGTTTAATGTATAGACTTATTGTGTTTAATGTATAGACTTATTGTGTTAAATGTGTAGACTTATTGTGTTTAATGTATAGACTTATTGTGTTTAATGTATAGACTTATTGTGTTAAATGTGTAGACTTATTGTGTTAAATGTATAGACTTATTGTGTTAAATGTATAGACTTATTGGTGTAAAATGTATAGACCTATTGTATTAAATGTGTAGACTTATTGTGTTAAATGTGTAGACTTATTGTGTTAAATTTATAGACTTATTGTATTAAGTGTATAGATTTATTGTGTTAAATGTATAGACTTATTGTGTTGAATGTATAGACTTATTAGTGTTAAATGTATAGACTTATTGGTGTTAAATGTATAGACCTATTGTATTAAATGTATAGATTTATTGTGTTAAATGTAGACTTATTGTGTTAAATGTACAAACTTATAAATGTATAGACTTATTGTGTTAAATGTATAGATTTATTGTTTTAAATGTATAGACTTATTGTGTTAAATGTACAAACTTATAAATGTATAGATTTATTGTTTTAAATGTATAGACTTATTGCGTTAAATGTATACTTATTGTGTTAAATGTACAAACTTATTGTGTTAAATGTAGACTGATTGTGTTAAATGTATAGACTTATTGGTGTTAAATGTATAGACCTATTGTATTAAATGTATAGATTTATTGTGTTAAATGTAGACTTATTGTGTTAAATGTACAAACTTATAAATGTATAGACTTATTGTGTTTAATGTATAGACTTATTGTGTTAAATGTATATATTTATTGTTTTAAATGTATAGACTTATTGTGTTAAATGTACAAACTTATTGTGTTAAATGTATAGACTTATTGCATTAAATGTACAAACTTATTGTGTTAAATGTAGACTGATTGTGTTAAATGTATAGATTTATTGTGTTAAATGTATAGACGTATCGTGTTAAATGTACAGACTTATTGCGTTCAATGTACAAACTTATTGTGTTAAATGTAGACTGATTGTGTTCAATGTATAGACTTATTGTGTTAAATGTATAGACTTATTGTGTTAAATGTATAGACTTATCGTGTTAAATGTACAGACTTATCGTGTTAAATGTACAGACTTATTGTGTGTAGGTGGTGTTTGCTTACCAACCTCCCCTGTCAGACTCGTGTGTGAGTAACAGACATGTACAGTATCAACATCTTCATACGTCTCACCTTCAAAGTCCTCTTTCTTCTAGAAAGAAAATCCTTAATTTGAAAATCAAAGTTTTATTATAAACACAAACAGTGTAATGCATCAAATGTGTTGCCACATTTCAAGACCAAATGGCCCCATTGTTAAGCTTTGACTGAGGAAGCGACTTGAATTGTTTACCTGGACAACGATATAACGAAATTGTTAACTTCATATGTCATTCCACCATTTCACTTATTGCTAGAGAGTGTATTCACACTCTATCTAATAAGAAGGTAATCCTTAATGTAGAATATGGTATGTACCTCACTTCAAGAGTTATTGCTGCTATATTGGTCATCTTCCAAAAGTCTACTGTCAAACTGTAAAAGAAAAAACGATAAATCAGTGTTTTTAAATTTTACAGCAGCCTATTTCCTTTATGAATGGAAAAAATATAGCATTAATTGTATTGAAATTGGGAATATACTTCTCAGATTTTGGTCATTTTGGGGAAATGAGCCACTTTTTTAGCTTAGGGGGAAAATCACTGGAAATATGAGACAACTTGGACTTAAGGTTTCATGTGTTTGGTGTGAGAACTAACACATTCAGACTGGTAAGGAGATGTATAGAGATCTGATCTGTTCAGTCCTCATGTTGAGTTCAGTTTCTTGTTTATCAGAGTTCCTGCTTGTACATAGAAAACAAGGCCAACTTGTAAAATTTGTGTTTCCTGCTTCTCTAGTTTAGTCTAACAACCAGAAAGGTTTGCAGTGTCTCGTCTGATAAAAAAAAATATTTTCTAAAATTTTCAACAATTGCTGAAATAATTGAATGGTGTCCCATTTTAACAAAAGTCATTCAAAATGTGTCCTGAAATATTCATGGACATTATCATACTTGTGAATCAAAAACTGCAATTATGAATTGATTTTTTTTTTTTACCTTATTCCGTCTTTGTATATTGCAGAATTATCTTCTCTTGTAAACAGGTATTGATTGTTACGTCATTGGTTTGTGTGAGAAAATTACATCATTTTCTCAAAAATTGATGACTTTACTCTCACAAACAAATACCTGCTCACAAGAGCAGATAACTCTTTCAATACAAAAAGACGGAATATACATCTAAAAAATATTACGGGAAACAGATAGTTTTATATTGGCTGTAGTGCTTTAATGTTACGATGTTACGATGTTTTTGTTTTAGCTTTGTCTCGTTCATTGATGCATGCAAACTTATCACTAATGCTTGAGTTGGTTATTAATGATTTAATCAGTGATTTTACATATGATAGTCTGAGACTTTTGAAATATCCTGATGGACTAGTATTTCTAGAAACCACTAGCCTTGAAGCCTTGATATAGCCTGCTGGACTAGTGTTTCTAGAAACCACTAGCCCAATTGACCAGTCAAAATTTGATATTACTTACCATGTTGAATAACATTTAGTACCCGGGTAAGTGGTATTTACTCACCGACCAGTTAAATTGGAAACTACTAGCCCGACTGACTAGTGGTTTTCTAAATTTATTTCTAGCCCTATAGTCCTATACACACAACATGGAATACTATGACTACAAAAATCAGATCTCTGGGAAGTTTTAGAAATAAACACTGCCTTTAAAGTTATCTTGTTAAAATGTTTACAGTCGTATAGATGGAGACATTCAGGTTGTAAGGTATACATGTTTTGATACTATCAATATGCTGTAACATTTACAGATGCTACATACAACACACACTTTGTGATGATTTTGATATTTTTGTTGACGATTACATCATTTGTGACATTTTGAATGGTTTTTTTAGACAACATAATTTTGACAATTTCAATATTTTTGTTGTAGATGTAATATTTTGTTATAATTTAATTTTGTTTTGTTTTAGATAACAGTAACACTTTTTGTAGCAATTCTGATCTTAACATTATGGACAATACCTTTTGTATCAATTTTGGATATTTTTGTTGTATAAAACATGTTTTATATGACCATTTGGATTTTCCTCTTTTTAGATAACACCTTTTGAAAGCATGTCAGATATGCAGCGACTACATCAAGAGTTAAATGACTATATGTCAGAAGCAAAAACAGAAAAGGTAAAAGCTAACTCCACTTCCTTTTCCTATTTTACACTTGGGATCTTCTTCAGTTTATTTCTTTGTTTGGTCATACATACTTGAATGAGGTTGTCTGTCTGTAGACCCAATTTTGTCCACACTATTCCTAAACTAACCATTTTCACTGATTTTTATGACTAGCTGTCAACTCTCACTCATTAGGAGGGAGACACACTCATTAGGAGGGAGACGCACTCATTAGGAGGGAGACTCACTCATTAGGAGGGAGACGCACTCATTAGGAGGGAGACTCACTCATTAGGAGGGAGACTCCCTCATTAGGAGGAAGACTCACTCATTAGGAGGGAGACTCCCTTATTTCGACCAAAATTAACCAATCTCCCTCCTTCAAGTCCAAACTCACACAAAGTCAAAATCTACATCTTGTGGTCAAATGATCTCCGAGTTACTGCAGGGTCTGTGTAATGATCATAACAGTTGTGTCTGAATAAATTGATTTTATTGGGGGGGGGGGGG